AATGAATATACTAATTAATAAAATGAATATTATTTATTTTGTATTACATATTGTTAATTCATTTATTTTTAACACCGCACCCCCAGCACCCCCATTTTTTCGTGGGCTACACTCCAGGGGGTGCTGCAGCACCCTCAGCACCCCTACTTCCCGCGGTAATGCACACACACACCTTGTATTCATGTATCATCATGAAATATTTTAATATTTAATTCAATTATTTAAATAAGATTTATAAGTATTTCAAGGCACACACATACAGTATATTTCAGATACTTCAAAAATATATATATATTTGGCTATTTTTATTTATTTTAATGAGACATATCTGAGAACTCTATCAAATCTCATGAGCACATCTCATGTTTTACTCGAGTTTGTTATTTGACCAATCATGGACATATAATGCCATATAAGAATGAAAAAATCTGAATAATTAAACACATCCTTGTTCAAAAGTTGAGCTCATCTGGTTGATTGTTGACTGTTAAAGGATCAAGCACTGAACTCAAGAGTCTGCTATCAAACACTCACAGATCTGCAGTGAAAGGTCACCCGTGGAGAGCAGTAATTTGACATGCTGTCTTTTTTAAATTATCAGAAATGGACTGCAGGGGACAAACTTGACCTTCACTACCTGTGGTATGTAACGCACAGCTGCGGCGTCTCTGCTGTAATGAGCCGCGGTGACAGCTGACCTTTAGCGCTCCACAGGCTCCCGTCACAAAACTCCCAGCAGTCATTTAGTTAAAACAACACACAGGGGTTACACGCTGGAGTGTATTTATGTAGCTGGAGAAATACATGACAAAACCGCAAAGCCAGATATTTGTACTGTACTTCACATCTCTGTCTTCACACCATTACAGCATCACGGTCAACCACTAGATGCAGGTTGAGAAGTTACCTTATACCATAACTTTAGCACAAACTAGTGACTTTATCATTCCCAAAATGCATGATTTCAGAGAGAAAATTCCTCGTAAATGGTGGATAAGCTAAGATAAATGGGATTACAAAAAGTATTAATAAAAATACTTAATTGGCAAAAGAAATCTACATAAATAAATACAAAAAATATATAAAATTCAAATAGTATAAATATATTTTATTTACATTTTCTAAATTTTATTTAAATAAATTGAAATATTTAAAAATGTACACAATTTTTCAAAAGTTTGGGGTCTGTAAGATTTTTGAGAGAAGCTGTGAAATATTACTTCAACTGGTTTTCAAGTAGAATATATTTTAAATGTAATATTCTGTGGTGGCAAAGCTGAATTTACAGCAGCCATTGCTTAATATTTTTGTGGAAACCACAATACATTTTTTCAGGTTTATTGGATGAATAGAAAGTTTAAAAGAACAGCATTTATTTGAAACATTATGAATGTCTTTACTGTCACTTTTGATTAATTTAATGCATCCTTCCTTAATTTTTTTAAACCTTACTGACCTCAAACTTTTGAACAATATTTTTGCTGATCATGCCAGCATCTATTTTCAGTCATGCAAACTCATATTTCAACTACATTTAAAATCATAAGATCTGGTATGATTTTTTCATAAGATCTGACAT